CAGCGCGTACATCCATCTCCAAAGACATTTTCTCTTCTGACAACAAGCCGCTGCGCTCATTGTTGTCCCAGCGCGGAATTATTCTCAAATTAGTACCACATTAATCACACTGACAGCTCGGAGATTAAATGACTCTGCAAAGGCAGAAATTTATTCCACTCTTCTTCAGTGCAGCAGAAAAAAAAAAAAAAAAGAAAAAACAACCCAGAATTTACGGGAGATCTTTCCCCTGACTTTGATACCACTGAGCTGCTTTTCTTCGCGGCCGTTGGCCTGACGCCGTTTGGACCGTTTCACTCTCCTTCCCCCTCGGTCCAGGATAAAAGGACCTTCGTGGATTTAATCTAAGCCAGACTGCTGAAGCTGTCGGTCGCCCATCAAAAGTTCGGCATCGATAACGCAGCCCCAACAAGTTGGGCGGCGGCCTCCCTCGGCCCGTCAAACCTGCACGGCGGCTGACAGACGGTTGGAATCGATAGCGGACGTTGTTATGAAGGTTGTTACGCAACGTTCCTCCAGAGCCTTTTCCAGAACGTACTTTTGGAGGAGCAGAAGAGCTGCCAGTCAGCCACTGGGCGTCATGACAGGCAATTTAATCTGAAGGAGAACGGAGGTCTTCAGTCCGTTTGACAGCATCAAATGGAGGAGAAAAACCTCCGCGCCAGACGCCATCGACGCCATCGGCAGCAGAACCTCATTCTGTTCATGATCGTTTCCACAAACTTTTTTTTATTATTATTTTTTAACTCGGGACCCACTTTGGAAAGACGACAAACAACCTCGACCCAAATCCTCATTGAAAGTCTGACAAAATATTTAATATGTTTTTCTGTCTGCGTTTGATAAATGCTTTTACGTTATTTACCAAATTAGACTTGGCGTAAAATTAAACACCAGATATTTATTTCTTGTTATTTTCTTTCGTCCACGATTTTGTCTCCCAGGTTGTTCCACAGTTTCTGGGTTGCCAGAAAAGAATCAGCAGAATTAGGTCAAAAAGTTCTAAGACAAATTGAAAAAAGAAAGTTTTAAAATAATAATTTCTTGCATAATCTATTTAGGACTAAACACTTATTTAGGCAGTGTTTACATCTTTGTTTTGGGGTGTGGGGGGGGGGTCTGGGAGCTGTTTTCATGACCTTATGATCTGCTTCTTTGTCGACGACCTAAATGATGTTTGTTTAAAAATGTTAAATTTTAATATGCTTACGTTGTCAATTGGTTCAAGTTTTTGCTCCGATTTTAAAATAGGTGAATTATATAAAATTATTTTTATTTTGAGTTTTTCATGATTTTTTTTTTTTTCGTTTCCTCAGGTGAATCAACAGATCTGTCCGTCACCACATGGTCAGAGGAGAATGGAATCCCGGAGGTCAGTGGAGGAACTTCCTGTAAATAGAGACTGCCTTTTCTTCTGGACTTCATTTAATCTTCAGGAGAGAAAAACAAACTAAATAAAAGACACTAAACGCTTTTCCCAGAACTCTTGGACAGAATCGAGGAGCAGATCTGATTCAAAGACTTTCTCGGGTTAGCCTTACTGGACCACAGGTTTTACGCTCCGACTTAACCGCTTGTAGTAAAGTACGATGGTGAACTTTGCTTCTATGTCAAT